CTCAAAGAAAAATGTTTTGAAGCCAAAAATAAAATAGATTCTAGGATCTTCTATTGGGTTGTCAGAAAAGTCATGACGCATTTTTGCAATGAAAAACATAGAAAAAAATATGTCATGACTTTTCAGACAGCCCAATAAATACTCACTTAACCAAAACAACACCAGGCTGTTCTTCTAAATTCTCAATTATCCAAAGAATGTTAAAAACATAACTTTTTACCGAAAACTTTCTTAAGGGAAATGTTTGTTTTTAAGTCCAAATCACCTGCATTTTCTATTTTATTTTAACTGCAAGACACTAAAATTTGGTTTATTATCTTTCTAACAATACTACACTAAATTCAACTAAAAGTTCTTTTGTTTAAATGCCTTAAACTACGAAGCACTGCAATATTAATAAGCAGAATAAATCAATCACAGGTGCATGATTAATCCAACTTCTGCTTACCCCAAGGGTTAGGACTACCACAATGGGTGTGTGTGTGTGTGTGTGTGTGTGTGTGTGTGTGTGTGTGTGTGTGTGTACACACAAAGTGGGTCAATACATAATGGATTCAAAGTGGAGCAGTAGGTAATACCTGGGCCTTGTGGGCCACAGAGTCTGTTGCAGCTACTCAACCCTGTCATTGTAGTGCAACAAGAATGAATGTGGCTGTGTTCCAATAAAACTTCATTCACAAGAACAGGCAGGAGGCAGATTTGTCTGTAGGCTGCACTTTGCCGAAGCTGTTTTAAAGCCACACCGATCTGGATTATTTCACTTCTCTAACCCTTGCTTTTCTTCTCTGTCAAATGATGAGTGCCTACCTCAGGCTGTGTCGTAAAGATGAACTGAGATAATACAAGTAACATATGTTAGAATGCCTAGCATTTGGAGTGCAATAAATAAGTTATGATTATTAATGAAATGAGGTAAACGCCTCTATTATTTAAGGGGTTCCAACATTTCATTGTCAGAAATATAATTACCAGAACATGCATGTAATATTAAGAAGCACGAAAATATCTTCTAGAATGTGCTTTCTTTTTTTTTTTTTTTTAAACATTTTTATTGGAGAATTGAGGAAGGGGAACAGACAAGTTGCTGTCGTTTTGTCCTTCAGTCTAGTTGTGGAGGATGTTGCTTCACTGGCCCAAGTTGGCACCATCATTGTGCTCTTCCCGGGCGAGGCAGATCAGTCGCCAGCTTCTGGATGGCCGCTCACGGCGGCTTGAGGGCCGCTCACGCTGGCTGCTAGCTACACACAGTAGCCCATGGTAACCCACTGCAGCAGGGGCTGCAGCCTACGCCATCGCCAGCGACTCACAGCAAGCCAGCTCCAGGTTGAGCTGTTGTTCAGCATCTTAGCTGTAGATGGCAGTGTCACTGGCCCTCATACGTGGGATCCGAACCAGGGTCCTCTGGCGTCCCAAACCAGTTCTTAACCAATGCGCTGCTCGGCTGGCCCTGTGCTTTCTTCTTGACCTCGCCACTTGAAGAATGCCTTTCCCTCCCCTCTCCCAGGCCACTTGATTAAAATGAGACTCAATCAAGAATATTTATTAAGAAGCTTGTAAGTAGCAATCTGTGACATGGCACCAGTGCCCAGACTCGGATGCACATGGTGAAGATGGAAAAGATGTCCTGCCATGAGTTATTTGCGCTTTAAACAAAATTGTTTTTCTTAACATATTAAATATAATAAATGCATTTCAATAACATGCCAGTCAATTATTAACATACGTAAATCTCTAAGTAATTTAAGTGGGTACTGTGGTAGTTAGGGTAGCTGGGTAAGTACATGGGACGGTAGACAGGTAGATGTTAGGAAAATCCTAAATATATTGTATCTGATAAGTGATGCTTTGAGATGTGTACCATGCAGGTGCAGATTAAATTAGAAAAAGGTATTTTTACCGCTAAAATGTTCTAAGAAAGTGATAATAGTCTGCCTATTAACTAAGCATGGTCTAAAATGCAACTGTCTGTTTTAAGGATACAAATTATGCAGTTTCTAGAATCCCATGGCACTTTTAAAACACAATCAATGAGTAGAATTTATTGGCTTGCTTTCTGGAGCCTCAGTGTTGGCAGAACACCAGTGCGACGGGCAGAATGCCCCGACAGATGGACTAATGCTCAGGACACGCCAGAAGATCAGCATGGGCATTAAGATGGGTCCTGGGCTGCCTTCTCTCCAAGTCAAAACAACAGTCTGTGCAGAACGGCTCATTTATTATTAGAAAACCCAAATTACCTAGGATTTTGCCTTCGGCAGCCCCCAGCAACTCTGCATTGACATTCTAGCGCGGAAAGCAGATTTATACATGAAATCACCTGCCAAACATGAGAGGTGAACAGAAGGCTCTGAGGCAAAGCTGTGAGGCAGTCTGTGGAACAGCTTCCGTGAACTGAGAGGCAACCAGTTCCTGACCTCTAGCCACAGACAGAATCATGTGAAATGTCAAGCAAATCCCAAATTCATTTGAAAGACAAACTACACAGCCTATCATGGAGATCAAAACCCGAGCAGGCCACAATTACAAAGCAAACAGGAACAAGGGAACAAACAGCGCTGCAATCATCTGTCCTGAGCCGGGGGCGCAGCCACACTCAGGTCTTGCTGGCCTGAGCTAGTCCCACGGTTCCCATGGACTGGGGCAATCAGTGGGACCAGAGCAAGTCCAGTGGCTCCAGGTGGCCACAGAGACCCTCCAAGAAAACCCACAGGGAAAACTGAGGAACATCCTATTTAATATTTGACAGAAGTGAGGGATTCACCATAGCCACACAGTCATAGCCAAAATACGCTTTTGTGTAATTAACTGCCTCAACTGCTAATGAGAAATCATCGTAAAGCACAATCCATAGTAACATGGGCACAGAAAAGACAGAAGCGCAAGAAACCACAGAAATTCTTAAAAAGTTAAACAACACATTCACTAAACATAATTCATATTGAAACATATCCTTCAAAAATGTGGCCTATCAAGGATAGACCACATTCAGCACACGTGAGCTAGTACACACCACAAAGGGATACACGGCAACTGAGAAATGGCTGGAGAGGGAGTGAAGGGAGTAAGGGAAACACTGGGCCGTGTACAGCTCACCTCAGGGAAGTAAAGACTATAAACAGGATGTGTTATCTTTGATTTGGTTTCCAGTAGAGCTCTCTCCTTTCGCTGTATACTTTGTTGTAATTCTTGCCACTCCTAGTAAAATAAAAATGAAATATTTGAAATCAACTATGTTTTTGATCATTTTGAGGAATTTCCAACTTCTAGCTATTATTCCTGACAATGCTAACTACTACTGAGTTCAGTCCCAAATCTGACCACTTCCCTGCTCGAAACTTCCAATGCATCTGTTCAGAAATCAAATCTAACCCCTTTAGCATGACTGCACAGCCGTTCATGATCTGACCTGGGCCTTTCTCGCCACTCTCCTGTCACTGCCTTCCTCCCTGACTTATATTCTAGTCATTTCACACTACCCAGACTTCTCTGAACTCACCAAACTATTTCACAGCTCCTAAAACCTGTTTGGATTTTTTCCCTGTCCCTGTTTTCCCCTTTCTCTACCTGGCAAATTCCTACTCCTTATTGTTCAAGGAACAGCTAAAGCCTAAAGTAGGAGCTCCTGAGTACCACAAATTTCCCTCTACCTCAGGACTGGGTTGATCACTCCCTCCTTTGTGCTATCACTGCACCTTTTGCAAAATGTGCATAATCTCTTTTATACTATTGGTCTGCCTTCCCCACTAACCTACTATCATTCAAGGGCAGACACTGTTCCACATTTGGCTTTGCACTCCTGTCATCTAACACAATGCTTGCAATGTGACAGATAATGAATAATTATTTGTTTTTTGTATAATTACTTGTCAATTGAATGAATGTGTTTTTGGTCATCTGAAGAAACTTGTCTGCCAAAACCTACGAGTCACCTCTACTAACCATAACAAACTCAGAAAGAAATATGCCAATTCTTTCTCCAAGCGAGGCTGTGATAATGTCTTTGATAATCTTAATTTTCTGGCTATCAACTTAATTTCCAAACTACAAAAATGTCAAAGGCCAGTAACTGCTAAAAACAGCCATCCTTATCTTTTCCCCACCATTCCCAAGGGCAGGCACATTATTTCTTTTACTTTTATCCTTTGCCCTTTACCTTTTCCTTTTTTTTGGCCTCTGCTTTTATCTCAGAGGTTATTCAGGGAATCTCTTTTTCTCTCCTAAACCACAAGGGTTATTTTAGATCAAAGGCTCAGTCAAAGAGAACAACACAAACATAAAGAAAACTGCTGAACAGTTTACAGTTCATTTGCTTGGAATCTCTTTCTAATGACCATTATTTGTCTGCCAAATATTCTTTTCTATAACCCTCCCATAAATCAGGTGCCATTTAATGCCACATCATGAGATTTTTTTCTATTCTCTATACCCTCACAATCCTAATGAATTACTTACAGACTCCCTTTTTTTAATGCCTTATAAACCTCTTGAAACAAGGTGGCATTCTGTAAATGTTAGTTTTTCCCATAACCAACCTCTTGACATCAGAGCTCCCAGTAACATTACTTTACCCCAAATATTACAGGGAACTTTTGAGAGGCTCTTCCATGTAACTGCTACCTATTTCATAACCCACCTTTCCTTACATTTCCAGAGTCGTCTCCAACACTGAAAATTGCCTTAAGAGACCGAACTGACCTTACCTCAGAGCTTAACCTACCTAGCAATTTAAGATTTAAGAAAATTAGGATCTCCAATCCTTGTTAGGAACTATTTTTCTTTATAATTCTGACCACTATACCATAAAAATATTCTTACAAAGTAATACAGGATTGTAAAATATACTGGTAACAAACTGATAAGCAAACAAGCAAGCAAATCAATAATAACAAAAGCCAAAACTATCATCAGAGGTGTAATTCCAATTATTTAAACCTATAAGTCTTACTGCTTCATCATCTTTGTTTTGCTTTTCATCTTGCTCTCTATCGGAGTCTCTGTCACTGCCATCCTCCTTTTCGCTTTGGGAGTCTCTATTGGTTTCTTCTTCTTCAGAATCACTGCCTTTATCAGAAACTTCTTCTTCATCTTCCTTTACAGCAGCTTCCTAAACAGAAAAAGCAACCACAAAAGTTCTGAGTACCTCAATGAGTATATTACTCTGAGTCTCTGAAGGTAACTTATTGTCATATTTAAACGGGCTCAAGATTATAACTTCACTATTCATATAGAAATTTAGAGAATTATAAACATTCTTATTTATAAAGATGTGGGAATCGGACTGAAGACTTTAATATTTGGCTTGTCAATTATTATTTTATTCATTTTTCATAGTTTATAAAATAAAAATATGCTATTTGCAAAGCATGCTACCAATATGGCTAAGACAGCTCATCTTTCAAAAACATCAATTATGCAATATATTTTATTTGAGATGGGGAAATGGAAACTTTATAGAAAAGTACTGTTTGGGGAGTTTAATACTATCTTCTATAACTGATAAGAGTACAATGCAGTAAAGAAAGCTGATATTCCAGACAAAATATTTAGTCCATTTCAAGAAGCAAGACAAAGAACAGCGAATTAAATACAAAAGAAAGTAGAAATAAATAAAACAGACCAGAAACCAGTTAAAGAGAAAGCAGACATACAAAAGGGAAACCCAAACAAAAGTTGGTCTTTGAAAAGATTAATAAAATTACGAATATTAGGAATAAAAGAGACATAACTACAGATCCAAAAGACATTAAAAACAAAGGATATTATGAATAGCTTTATGTCAATAAATTTGATAACTCAAGAGGAAATGAACAAATTCCTTGAAAAACACAATTACAAAAACCAACATAAGAAAAAAGTAGAATATGTTAAAGACAAGAACTCTATTATAACTGAACTCTTTTTTAAAACTCTAAGCCCATATGGCTTCTCTAGATAATTCTTCCAAATAAGAAACAAATCCAACCTTACTTTACACACACTCTTCCAGGAAAAAGAGAGACGACTTCCTAATTTGTTTAATGAGGCCAACATAAACCCAATATAAAACATGGCAAGGGTATTTTACAAGAAAGGGGAATGACAAACCAATATACTTTCATAAAAACAGATGTAGGGATCCTAAACAAAATGTTATCAAATGTTACACTGAATGTATCAAATCCGGATAAATATAAAAAAAGGCTACGACCCAATGAGATTTGTTCTGGGAATGTAATGATTGTCTAAAAATTTTTAATGTGTCAATATAATTCGCCACATTAACAGAAAGGAGAAAAATCACAATCATCTCAATAGATGGAGGAAAAGCATTTAATAAAATTCAGTATCTGTTCATGATAAAAATTCTCAGCATGGGAATAGAAGGAAACACTTCCTTAACCTGATGAAGAATATCTATTGTACAAAACCCTATAGCTAACATTATACTTAGTAGTGAAATCATGTTTCCTTTCTCCCTGAGATCAACAAGAAGACAAGGGTGACCACCATCTTCACTTTCAATCAACATTACACTGAAAGTTATAGCCAGTATAATAAGGCAGAAAGGAAGAAAGAGCATAAAGATTAAAAAAAAAAGGAAAGCTGTCTTTATTCCCAGATGGCATAATTGTGTATGTAGAAAATCTTTTCAAACATGTCTTCAAATGGTTAGGATTATTGTCAATTCATCAAGACTTCTTGATGCAAGATCAATATTTAGAAAGCAACAATATTTCTATACCAGCAATAAACATTGCAGAATGAATTTTTTTAATGTTATTTGCAATAGCACCAGAAAGTATCAAATACACAGGAGCAAATCTAATGAAAGATGTGCCATACCACTGCCACTGGAAATTACAAAAAAACTGCCAAAAAAAATTTTAAAAGATACAAATTAGTAAAGATAAGCCATGCTTATGAATAAAGACTCAGTATTGGTAACATTTGACTTCTCCCCATATTGAACCACAGATTCAATGCAACACCAGTCTAAATTCCAGCAGCTTTTTTTGGGGTGGAAATTGTCAAGCTTATTCTAAACATTTAGAATGAAATGGATCTAAAATAGTCAAGACAATTCTGAAGAAGTGAAATAAGAGTTTGAGGACTTACACTACCGTATTTCAAGACTTCACATAAAGCCACCATAATTAAGATAGTGTGGTATTGGCAAAAGAATAGACAAATAACTAATGAAATGGAGTCGAGAGGCCATAAAGAGATCTGTACATATATAGTAATAGTCACTTGTTTTACAACAGATCACCACTGCGTTTCAGGGAAAAAAGGATAATCTTTTCAATAAATGGTGCTCGAACAAGTTGTCCATAATCCCTATCTCACACTACTTACAAAAAATTAATTCAAAATATATCACAGTGCTGAATATAACAAGTAACATAATAATACTTCTATAAGTATTACAGAAAAACCTCTCTGCGTCTTTGTGATAGGCAGTGATGTCTTAAACAGAACACAAAAGCACTAAAAGATTGATAAAATAGGCTTCATTAAAATTAAGAACCATCGGGCTGGCCGAGTGGCTCAGTTGGTTAAGAGCTCGCTCAAGAGTTTGAGCTCTGAGCAACAGCGGTTCGATACCCAGCCCAAGCTGAGCTGTCCACAGCTGGACTGAAGAATAAAAAAACAACAGCAACTTGTCTGTTCCCTTCCCCCCGATTCCGCAAAAAAATAAAAAAAAAAAAAAAATTAAGAACCATCAAGTTTGGGGAATATAATCAACAGTGTTGTAAATATTTTGTAGTGTGTCAGATGGGCACATGTCTTGTTAGGGAGACCACTTCATGGATGGGGTAGATGCTTGATCACTGTGCTATATACCTAAAGCTGAAGCTGAATAATATTGTATGTCAACTATAATTTTATATATGTATATATATAGTCATGGAATATGGAGTACAGCATAGGGAATAGAGCCAACAGAATTGTAATAGATATATACAATGTCAGAGGGGGAGGAAGGTTATCACTTTGTGAGGGGTGTAAATGTCTAACTATTACATTGTTCTGTACACCTGTAACTAATAAAAAAATTAAGAACCATCAAAAGCTACCATTAAGAGTAAAAAAGAGTAAGATAAACACCCCCAAAAGAAAAAGAGGATATCCAAATGACCAGTACGCATATGAAAGGGTGTTCAATATCTTTAGTCATCAGGTAAACACAAATAAAAACCACACGCAAAGATACAACAGACCCACCACAGTGGCTAAAATAAAAAAGACTAGTAAAACCAAGTACTGGTGAGGATGTGAACAACTAGACTCATATTTTGCTGGTAGGAGCATAAAATGATACAACTTTGGAAAACGGGCTCTTTCAATGAGTAAAACATACACATATTTTATAACCCAGCAATTCCACTGCTAGGTACATACCTGAGAAAAATAAATGTCCACAAAATGATATATACAAGAATAGGTATAGCACCTTTATTCATAATAGGCAAAAAACTAGAAACAACTCAAATATCCACCAACCACAGAACAGATAAACTGTAGTATATTCATACAATGAAAACACACACACACACACACACACACACACACACTCGACTGCTGCTACACACAATACATATGAATGTCATGGACATAATGTTGAATGAAAGCAGTCAAACAATTTCACTTACATGAAGTTTAAGAATAGGCCAAACAAATTAATAACAGAATGGAGGAAGGGTGTGGAGGTAGACGGAGGAGTCACTGACTGAAAAGGGGCACAAGGGAGCGTCCTAGGGTGCTGGTGAGGTTTTCTATCTTGATCTGGGTATCATGGGTACATACATACGTAAAACTTCAGGAGCTGTATGCACAAGATTTAAAATTTTAGTGTATGTTATACCTCAATAAAGATAATTATATAATAACAATAATAAACTTACACTCCCAATGACTCCATTTGCCTGCTTTTGTTTCTGTTGCTTTGATGGTGGTAAGGACACAGGTGTAGGTTTTTTTTTTACAGGTTTCTTTTTTTTTGATTTAGCAGTTTTCTTCGGTCCTTTACTCTTCTGTTGCCATCCTCCTTTTGTCCTGTTCTTGTTAGTGTCACCCAGCTGTAAATCAAAACACACATACACACTCAAAAGGTATAATAATATTTTCATTTGGGAGTCATAGTAATGTTTAGGTGGAAATGGCTAAGCTACATGATTCCATAAACTGAATTATTCTCCTACTGCAATATAAATCAGTCAGAGAACTAAACAAAACATTTCTATCACCAAGAAAGATAGGTAAGAAAACTCAAGCTTTTACCCCATCTTCTGCTGGCTGTTCCTCTGCAGCACAGATGGACTGTTCCTTTTCAAATACTTCCTAGAGGAAGTGAAAAGAAAAATATAGTCTGTCAATCTGTATTTATCTTTCAGATAAGCAAAGCGATCTTTGAAAAGATGTTACCAGTAGGTTTTAAAACTGGTGACAATAGGGAGGCAGGGGAGCAGGAAACTTAGCAATTACTAAATGATACTTCAGAAGTTACCTTCGAAATATCTCACATCTGTCTTAACTTAAAAAATACAATGACTTAAGATATGTAAACTCATTATAAAGCCAAAAATATTTCAGTTTAAATTTTCACTTTTACTCTAATACTAATAAGACATGACTATTTTAATGTTATGAGAATTTTAATATATTACACACAAAATATTATTTTCTAATATTAAAACTTCGTAAGACCAATATTAGTTTATTCATTATTGTCAGTGATACTGCTCATTGGCTCTGTAGCTAAGTGGAACACTAAGAAAATCCACATATCCTAAAGACATATCGACCCACCACATAATCCATTTAGAATCAGTAGAGAAGCTGTAAGTTTAGGATTTAAACTCCAGTAAGAATCTATATGAGATGCCAGCAAGTGATGTGGGTTGTGTTTAATAAACTCCCTGGGATTACTAAAGCTAACAAGTAAAAAATGATAACTATTAGGCTCTAAACTATTAGCCTAATTCAGGGGTCAGCAAACTATGGTCCATTGCCTGCTTTTTAAACAAAGTTTTGTTAGAACACAACCATGCCCATTTGTGAGCTCAGTAGTTGCTACAGAAACTGTATGACCTGTAACATCTAAAGTATTTACTAACTGGGCCTTTACAGGAAAAGTCTGCCAACTCCTACTCTAATTCTATCATCCCTGCATTGTTTCTTCATTTATTACTGGGTTCTAATAATTACTCTGAGGTACAGTTCATACAAGAATTGGACAATAAATACTCAATTCTTTCCCTTCCTCCAGGGCAGTTTTATTTTTTCTTCTACCAAGTAGCACTTCTCAGGCTGGGAACTCAAAAATATAAGGGCAGTATAAATTTGGATTCTAAACCCAATCCTGGCCACTGGCTTAGAGTTTCATCTTCTCCCAGGAGACACATCTCATCCAGAGTCCATGAGGCAAATGCTTCATTACCACTTACTACCATAAAATCAACATCTTTGATTTGATATATCCTACTACAAAATATGCTTTTCCTACCAGAGGTTTTAGACATGGGGTTTAAGTGCAGCAGATGTTTTCTGCAGATGTTCACAGGCACCAGAGCAGAACAGGCTAAAACGACCAGTCGTTAAATAAATTGAGTTGAAATACAACAGTCTATTAAAAACTAGTTAGAATTATAGTTGTAACTTGGGAATTACTATAAATATGCAATAGTCACCAAGAAAAACAAGATGCAAGAAACATATACAATATGATCAGATTTAATAAAAAAGAATGAGAAAAAAAGCAGTACACATCTATAAGCATATACATGTATGCACTGTAAAGGTCCAGATATGAGCTTGGAGAAAGATATGAAAGAATATACACAAGGCTGAATTCTGGTCATGGGGACTGACAAAGGGTTTCCTGAGGGAGGTGGATGAGAGACTGGATCCGTGATAAACACATCATTTAACTCTATGATTAGTCATGTATTAGGATATCTAAAGGGATGAGCTTCGGGCCGGCCGCGTGCTCAGCTGGTTAAGAGCTCGCTCAAGAGTGCGAGCTCAGAGCAATAGCAGTTCGATTCCTGGCCCGAGCCGAGCTGCCAACAGGTGGCAGGATGGCTCAGCTAAAAAAAAATTAAAATATAAATAAATAAATAAATAAATGGGTGAGCTTCAAAACTGATAATGTCAGAATGGTGAGATTTTAGATAATGTTAATTTCTTCCTATTGCATTGCCTGAATTATTTCTCAGACAGCATGAATTTTTCACATAATTTTTTAAAAAGTTGTTTTCATCAAAATTTTTAAAATAAAAAAATAAAAGGAGTAAATTCTCTAAAGCACTGACTAAAAAGGACTAGGTAATGAAATTCTCAACAATAATCAACAATGACCTCTGAATAGCACTTTAAAGTTTATGAACTACACCCACATTACAGGGAATTAACAAATCATCACATGAAGAATTAATCTATTTTTTTTCAAGGTTTTTTGTGTGAAAACTAATGTGAAAAACTTTGAAATTACAGCTAACAGGACCTGCAAAATTAAACTTTGCTACTCAATATTTCTGACTTGGGAACGTATAACTTAAAATGAGAAAATAAATACAAAAAACCTTAACACACAACTTATACCATGAAAATACAGATTACTTACTGCCATTGTTTGCCTTGTCAATTTAACCAACACTGTGACTAGGGATCCTACTGTGATGTTGTTGCTGTCTTCATCATCCAATACTGTAAGAAGGGAAAAAAACTGAGTAAAATCTAAAAATCAAGCTCTTTGTCAACGCAAACTGCAAAACTTAACTTACCCAAATCAATATGGTACTTCAGTAATTCAAACACTATACTTTAAACTTACTCAATAAAAAATAATTCATTGACTATCTATTCTGTATAAGGCTCGCCAGCAGATGCCTTCAACAACGTACTCATTTAATACGTAAACTAGTTCTATAAAGCATTACTATTATTTGTACTTTAAAGAAGGAACTGAGATTCAGAAATAAAGTGAAATGCCCATGTCACATAATGGCTATACTGGCACCGACAAGTTTTAAACCCAGGTTTTTTAGAACAAAGTAGAATGTGAGGACTACCACACCATAGCTTTCTCTCATAGTGATTTAAAAATAGGATTCTGTCACTCTATTCGATTTTGCAAACCTTATATTCACAAGACTTTATTTATATGATCAATGCCTGCCTGTCAGAATAAAATAATTAAAACTAGTATTCTAAGCCACATTAAAGAGATTTACTTTGAAGGTAAGAACTTCAAAATATTGTTTATACTTAAAAATATTTTTTTGCAATGTTTTTGTAAATTTTTTTTTAAACCACTTTGGCCACACACAGCCCCAAAAGGCTAATAATAAAATAAGCTTAACATTAAAATAAAATAAATTAACATTAAGATTAATAACTTATCAAACATATCTTCCATCCAAACGTAGATACAATTCATTTTTTTCCTACAGATTTTATCTATTAGCATTTTCTTCACTATGTATTTCTGCCTACAGGTTTCTAAGTTTGTCATATTTATTTTATAGATTTAGATTAGCACACACTGTTCTGCCCTGCACTGGCACTTCACCAGCTGGAAAAGAATGGCCTCCAACAACCTATAACTGCTATCTCCTCCATCACTGGCTGTGAGGTACAACAGCTGGGCATCAAAACAGGACACAGTATCCTTTCTTAAACCTGGAAGTCTCCATTATCTCAAATCAAATCTGGGCTACACATTCATCAACACTGCAAAGCTGTGTACGCATGAGCACTGCATGTGAATTAACACCTATAACAATGTCTACTGTCACCTGGCGCTTTAAAGTGAAGAGGAGCCTATATGGGATTCTACGCAGCCTCTAGCAATGTGGGAAAAAAGATCCACCATCTCCAGCACTGGATCAGGCAGATGCCCCTTTCCTGCTTCTAAAACTCTCCTACTCTCCCTCCATAAACTACACTACTCATATTATACATTTGGATAGCACTGTAAAAATATAAAATAACAAATTGTCCATACAAAATGATATGGAATGGAACACATCATAGTGCTCTGGAGTGAGACTGAATACTCTTACCTTATTATCTAATAAGAAAATCTCTCGACATTCACTTGCTAAGGAGCATGTACATTTTAATACCTTTGATTGTATCAGAGTATCTCTTCAGTCCCAAACTAGATTTTTATTTAGATAGTTTCTGATTAAATTAGTATGAAGCTTTCAGCTTTAAGTATTTTTAATGCTTAAAACTCCTGGACCCACAAAGAAATCCCAACTCCCCACACCAAAGCAGCCCCAATTTTTACTACATATGAGTATTTTAAATATCTTTCATTACATGTGAAACTCTTTATTCTTTGAAAAGTTAAGCTATTCCTGAAAGCTGAACTACAGAAGAGTCCTCAAACTGAATCCCATTATAAGGATAATAAAAGTAGGACTCTTACCAGTGTTCTCAAAACTATGATGTATACATCATTTTCCACCATAGTAAATCTGACACGTAAACTAGTTCTGCAAAGTCTAATCACAAGTTATGCTATTAAACGGAGTGTTTTAAGAACCTTGCGCCAAACAAACAAGAGCTAGTCTATCAAAAGGGAAGCAATCCATGCTCAACAGGGAAACCTCCTCACCCTGAGATTTTATGTCCATAGTCACATAAGGGAAACTCCCGAGGACAGCCATGACCTCTTCATACTTCTCCTCTTCAAGGAAATGCAGTAGACTGTGACGGTCTGATTCTTTCAAACTCACCAAGTCCTGGATAGTCTTAATTTTGTACTGAATTTAAAAGAAGAGAAAGAGAAAGAAAATAAATCCCAAAGTCAAAAAACTTTTCATAAAAGGAAAAGTATAGCATGTTTACTAAAACAAAATCCAAGAACTTTCAGAAAAACATTAAGATTATATAGATTTCAAAGCAAAAAATACACCTTCATAGCATTTTGTGGCCTTTTTCTCCAAGAAAATTTAAATTTAGGATTTTTTTTTTTTAATTGGGGAGCAGCCATGGTCATTGGTTACACATTGCTTTCATACTGCAGTGACATAGTTGACTCTTTTAAGGAGCGCGCAGCTCACAGTGGCCTATGCAGGGATCAAACTGGCAACCTTGGTGTTATCAGCGTGACGCGCTAACCAACTGAACCAACCCGTCACCCCGTAGGATTTTTTTGTCTTATTATACAGTTAATATAAGTTTATTTTTTTTAATTAGAAAAAATTACAGAAAAAAAATAGCATTCATATAAAATCTTGACCTAAGCAAGAACTATTGTCATTTGATGTGCTCAGTACACTGACCTTTATTTTCTATTTTAATGATAGAAACCTTTAAGCGTATGAATTTATTTCCAAGTATAGCTACACCCTAAAGGTCTTACTATGGAATATTCTCACTTTTTGTTATTTTCTAAATATAGTTGTCCGTTATTGCAGTAATATCCATTTTGGCTAAATGGATACTTAGGAGAGCGTTCTTTAATTTCCAGATGTTTGGTGCTGGTTATTAACTTTCACTTTCACAGGCAGGGATTAGATCATGAGGTGTGTGAAATGGCTGCTTTTGGATTCTGAAATTGTCAATTATGACTTAAAACATGATTGAATATATAAGGGTGACACAATTACTTGAAAAGAGAACTCTGGTGCAAATTTCTAAGATACACTTATTAGTTCTACCTTGATATAGTATCAAATCCAATGTCTATCTTCTGCCTACTTTGTCTAATGGATACAAAGTGATGTTTAAAATCTCCAACCAAAATTATAATTTCATTGTGTTCCTTTATATTTCCTCAAGTTTTCATTTATACATATTTTTGCTTTTAAAATTCATTATGTCTTCACTATAATTGTGTTTCTAAATAAGAATTATCTTTACTTGATCTACTTATTTTTCAACGTTTATTTTGTTCATACTAAACTAATAAATCATCATCCAACATTTAAGCCACAAATAAAATGAATGGGAAGTATACAGTGCATTTTCACTTAGCATATTTATTTTTGGTAACGTGAGGAACAAAGTGTTAACTGTTACGCTGCACTAACCCCTAGGAATAGCAAAATCACTTACAGTAGTAAGATACTATAAAACAGTTACCTAATCAAGAAAACACTAACAGAGTCACTTGAGGGATAGTTTGAGAGTGTTTAAGACATCCTAAATCTAAAAAATTCATGGTAACCATTTCTAGAAAACTTACATGTTTAAGTGACATGACAAACTGCTTAAAACTGGTTTGAAAGTAGAAAGGATTACCTTTTTATGATTAGAAACCCTTCTAAGATTGTCCTCTTCAATGTGAGGGAGCTGCAGAAGGGGGGACTTAAACTGCTGAAGGCCTTGCACGGCCATCTGGGACAGCTTCATGCAGTTTTCTAGGGACGCCAAAGTTGGAGCACGAAACTCCCTTTCTTAGAAAGAATAGGAGGAAAAGCAAAAACAGAGCTGGACTTTCTATATGTTCAAGAGTATACAATTCATCACAAAAACAAGATTCATGTGAACATCCTGAACCCCTCAAACTTTAAAATCACAGTGTTGATTTTCCTTTAAAAACTATTAGATAAAATACAAAATAGATACAAACTTGGTCAAATGCATATTGTCCAGGAAAAAACATTGATTTAATTGAAAAATTCTTTGCATCAGCTCCAAAAACAGTAAATTATTAGACATTACCGGTATCAAGAACCGTGTCAAGAATAGACATTATCCATAAGAGCAAAGCACAACCACTATTTCCTGTTTAAGGATCTCCCATTCCATTACTGACCACAAACTCCCTCATTCTTTTTTCCATTTATGCAAAACACAGGACGTGTCATTACATCATTAGATCACTTAAAAAATTATTTCAAACACACTGTTAAAATGCAGAATAACGTAACTCTAGAAATATTCAGAGGAAGAAAAAGGATATTTTAAATCGTTGCAAACAACAAACAATAAAACATGAAAAAATTAAATTCAAAACATATGAGTTATGATAAATACTTTACATAATGGAAAATATATGGAAAGAAATAAGAAAAACCATGAACAAAATTGGGAAAGCTGCTTCAACTTATAAAAATTATAGTAAGTACCCATAAATCTTAAAAATATGAAGTGCAATCTGCATATGCTTGCAAGAAACAATACAACTGATTACGATTCCTCCTCACCTTCACGGCTCCGGGCCATTATTATTAGTTGGCAGATTACATTAACCATTTCTTGAAGTAGGGCAGGGCATTTTTTCAGCATAAATTGTTGATCTGCAAAACAATTAAAAAAACCTGAAATAAATCATTCCACTTTTATAGTTAAAACATCTTTATCAACTGTAGTCTAAGACTAACAGTAAATTTAAGCTGTCTTACAAATATCTCACATGACCTCAGAACTTTACAGATGGAACCAGTGTCTCCTCAGCAGCACTAAGTCAAAAATCAGTCAGAAAATCCTAGCTCAGATGAGATGCTCCAAAGGCAAATTTTCAATATTATGATGTTGGGCTTTATTAATTAACTCCCTACCTTTTTTTTTTAAGTAGTAATAATCTTAATCTTACTGTATTTAAAAAAGAATTTTCTTCTTGTGCACCTAAGTTTCTGATTATAATTATGGATAAATCCAAAGATTAGGATTAACTAAATGGAGAGAGAAAATGGGGGGAAGAGGAGGAAGAAAAAAGGGAGAGAAAGAGAGAGGAGACACTCTTTCACTTATACTGCATATAACAGTATAATAGTTAACCATTAAAATCACCCATTGGGTTAATATTCAACCTAAAAAATATTTGTTCGCTATTTTTTAGGTAACTGGTAAAACTGGAGATGGTTTCATATTTGTATAGAACATTAGGGCTAGAATTACTAGTTAACCTGCAACTCTAATAACAATGCCTAACAGTTCTCCTTCATTCCATCATAATATGCATCCTATCCTATCACCAATCACTGAACCTCAACTGGCCTTGTTTTCAGAGGCATCTGATTGCATTATTGGCTTAAAAGGCTCAGGTGAGGGCGGAGTTGCATTCAGAAAGAACATTTATTCCCTAAAATAGTAACTTTCTTTTAACTTCAATTGAAATAATGCAAGTGAAGAAGAGATGACACTCAAATTCATAACATCCCTGGAAACACCGCTGTCCCAATCTACTGCTTTTCTTTTAAGTAGAATTAGATGACTTGAAGTATTTATCGGTAACCACCATTGGAGGCTGGTGGTGGTGGTGGTGGTGGAGTAATGGAGTTGATAGCAATATCTGTTATGAAATTCATTTTTTCTCCCCACCAAAAGCTTATGAAATCTTTTTTTTCAAAGTCATTAGGAATTATTGTGTAATCTGTAACAGACTAAACATTTCTCATATAGAGTATTCTCACTTTGAAATACTAAATTTTAACATTTACCAAAATATCTGACCTCCTTAGACCTTCAAAGTCTTTGTGAAGTAATCACGTAGCATACAGATTTCTTTTCAAAAGGTCCTTAAGCAATTATTTGAGGGGGGGAAAAAACAGCAACAAAAACACTGCACCATGAGGTTTAATTAAATCTGCTGCTTTCATACCACTAAAACCCTGCAGAGAGTAGAATCACAGATACCTTCTTCAAGGGTCTCAGGAATTTTCATTCTAGCAAGATGAGACAGTAAAAGAACTCTGGCCTTCAGGCTATATGGGCAGGTAAGTGGAGGCTCATTCTTCTTTAAATTAATGCTGCCAATTTCTCTGATTAGCTAGAGTAAATAAAATAATTATTCAAAAACATACATTTCAAAAAGCATTAACTTTAATAATTAAATGCTTATCAAGAAATTTTGGAGAAATGCCTAACCTGAGGTATTAGAATATTATCTGTTGGTCTGCTTGTGGCATCTTTATTATATTGAGGATCAAATTCAGAGGCTCCAGCTAAAACCATGATAAGACCTAAGAAAACAAAAGAAATAGGAGGGTAAATAAATATATTTGCTCGCTATTCATTTCCCCTCTTATGATACTTCATTAATCCTAGAGTAAAGCAGTTTTCCAATCATGCACAATGCTTAAAAATCATCTGCACTCCAATACTAACAAGCATTAATTTCTCCCATAAAAAAAGAAATGTCTCACTTTTTCAAACATGAGCTATATTACCTGACCTATCACAAGTGACTAGAAATATATATCAAATTAAGGGCCAGAGCAACTGGATACATTAAAATCACTTCAAATAGCATCTATTTCTAGACCTAAGCATGTGTTCCACAGAAATTTTCTATATAGTATTAAGTATTCCATGTGATATTAATACATGTTATATGAAAAAAAAAAGGGAGACTCTATGTTTAAAAATGGCTGAGAAATAATGAGTTAAAAAGAGTTTTAAGTTTCTTTAGTTCATGACTTCTCAGAGCCTTGAGTAAACTAAAATACACTCTCATTTATGGAAACTTTTATTACAGAACCCCGGAGGGTTCTGCGGGAGTAGTGTTCCTTGAAATGCATGTGATTCGCAGCCACATACATATATTAGCATTACTCACATTAGCCTATACAAGTTCTTTAATGACTGGCACTATAACCATCAGTCACCTGACAGCAGAAAATACATGCAATGTATTCACAAAAAGCAGGACAGTATAGTAGCCAAGTGCATAAACCCTGGAGTTTTCACGTACTAGCTAAATAAGGTAGACAATAGTTTTCATCTCTCTATGGGCCTGTTTCTTCATATGTGCCTGACACACAGTATGCCCAGTAATATGCGTGAGCTATTACTATTACTACCTTCAAATGTTTTCATGAAAACAACTGGTCCTAAAACAGCTATATAAACGGTGCCAATTCTAAAGTAACCAAGGGTATACAACCAAACCTACCAGCTAAAAAATATTTTTTAATAGACTTGTGTAAGGCTAAGTACCACTTTCAGAAATGAAACAGAAATCAAGATCACTGATGTAAAAAACACATTAAAATAGATTATAAACATGAAACATTTTCATAAGGGAATAAGTTCTTAATGAATATTTCAATCCAGCATAAGGAAGAGTGATAGGTGTGCATAAGGGAAAGTAACACTCACTCATTCCTCAGAAATAGAAGACCTGCTCAGGCCTCAGAAGTATAAGATCTATTAACACCGTCATGACCCTGAGGAGTCTCTTTCTGGTTACAGAGAAAGTTAGTAAAATTGACAAATCCAAAATACAGAAAAGTCCATTTAGGTTTTGGAGTAAAAATGCATTCTTCAGTGAGACACAACTTAAAAGTTATTATCTTCTTTTTGTTTATTTAAGGAGGGGAAGAAGGATGTCTATGATTTCTGCAGAGCGTTGATTCTGAAAGGCAATACACTGTATCGTCCAGGGATAAAATGTACAAAACTACTTTTATGGGATCAAAAGAAGTATTTAATTAGCTATATGAGTTAGAATCAATGATCACCATTGTATTTTGCGTCAGTATGCAAATTTAATCCTCCCCTCTCCCCCATGGGCTAGCGGGAGTAGAAAAACCTTGAGATCCTCCATGGAAGAACTAAGGTTGCTAGTCAAACCTTCTCTCAGCTGTTCTGCCCTCTGAAAGCTCTAAACTTAGCCAGTGTTGAATCTCATGATTACTTAAAAAAAATGAAAGGAGGGAG